AAAAGCATCTTTCAAGAGTTACTAAAAACATCTTTGGTGATAACATTGAATATGTGCCCTGAAGTTACCCAGAATAGAAAAACCTATATAACGAGAAACCTTACCACAGCTGCAAAGAAATTTACAAGTGTCTGTGTAGTTGACTCTCTGTTCTGTTTTTCAGAATTATTCACTGACTAAAAGAAGTACCTAAAAAGCTATGGAAAATGAGGTGTATTTTTCAAATTAAATATTATACATGGGTGAATTTAAACAAAACTCAGCATGGTGTCATTTTTATGTATTCAGTATAGAACTGAAGATCAAATATGAAATGAGCACATTTTCATAGCTTGAGTGTAGCAAAAATAAAGTGTTCAGATTCACTTTGGGAGAAGTCAGATTCTTTTTTTTTTACATTATTATTCATTTAACTTTTATATGTCTGAGTGTAACTAAGATAACCTTAAAGATTTGCAGTTGCTGGGACAGAGTATGTCTGCTGTAAATTTGCATAGATACTGTCAACTGGCACTCCAACAAGTTTATGCAGTATTAAACTTCAAGGTTTTGTTCCCACCACCTCTTCCCAGCATAGTCCTCTTCACATCCATGGAGAATCCCTGCTATGCTGAGCTTCCAATGTCGAATCTCTCTGAGGTGTGTTATAACAGAAGATAGCAGAGAACTACTGACTCGGAGTACATTCTCCACACCCTCCCCTTCCAAACTCTCTAAATTGCCTTCCTTATTTTATGTCCTTAGACTTTATCAAAAGTTACCAAAAGGAACTACCGCATGAAAAGAGCTTCCATGTTTACAGTACAACAGCAGTTGAAGACATGGCTTTCATGCTGGTTAGCCCCATGAAGAATGCCCTGTCTCAGAAATCTCTTTTATTTTTTTATAAATTTTTAAATGTTTTTTTTATTTATTTCTGAGAGAGACAGACGTGAATAGGGGAGGGTCAGAGAGAGAGGGAGACACAGAATCTGAAACAGGCTCCAGGCTCTGAGCTGGCTGTCAGCACAGAGCCTGATGTGGGCTCAAACCCACGAACCGTGAGATCATGACCTGAGCTGAAGTTGGACGCTCAACCAACTGTGCCACCCAAGTGCCCCCAGAAATCTCTTTTAGAATTTAGTATCAGGAAACACTTAGTCTTCTCCTCAGGAAACACTTAGTCTTCCCCTCAGGAAACACTTAAGTCTGCTCTTCATGAACTGGTTTCCTTTCTTGAGAGAATGCAAATACATTCTTTTTAGAACAGCTTTATTTAGGTATAATTTACATACTATATCTTAACCTATTCCAGGTTTACAATTCATTGGGTTTAGGTATAATTTACATACTATATCTTAACCTATTCCAGGTTTACAATTCATTGGTTTTTTTTTTTTTTTTTTTTGTATATTCATTTTTTTTTAACCATCACCACAATCAATTTTAGAATATTTACGTCACCCATCAAAAAACCTCTTACTCAGTCACTCTCCACTTAACCCTAATCATTTCACCCTTTCCCCAAACACTGGACACTCATTAATGTGCATTTTATCCTTGTGTATTTGCCTATTCTGGACATTTCATATACCTTGAATTATATAATGTATGGTCTTCAAGATTCATTTCTATATCAGCAACTTAATTCTTTTTCCAGCCAAATAACATTCCATTGTATGTATATACCACATTGGATTTATCTGTTCATCCATTAGTGGACATTTGTATTGTTTCCACTTTTTTTTTTTTTTTTTGCTTTTTATAATCATGCTGCTGTGAACTTTCATATACTAGTTATTGTTTGACATATGTTTTCATTTCTCTTGGGTATATATATACCTAGGGGTAGAATTGCTGAATCGTATTAAAGCTCTGTGTTTAACATTTTGAGCAATTCCAGAGTGATTTCCAAAGTAACTGTACCAGTATGCATTCTATCCAGCAATATGTGTGAGGGTTTTAATTTCTCTACATCCTTTCCAACCCTCGTTCTTGTTTCTTTTTTTGAGAATAGCCATCCTAATGGGTATGAAATGGTATCTCATTGTGATTTTCATAAGCATTTCCCAAATTACTAATGTTGTTGAGCATCTTTTTATATGCTTATGGGCAATTTATGTATCTTCTTTGGAGAAATATCTATTCAGAAACTGTGACCATTTTTTAATTGTGTTATCTTTTTATTATTGAATCATAAGAGTTTTTTTTAAAGATATTCAAGATAGAAGTCCCTTACAAGATACGCTATTTGTAAATATTTTCTCCCATTCTGTGAGTTGTCATTTCACTTTTTTTATGGTATCTTTTGAGGTCCCAGAGGCTATAATTTGACAAAGCTCCATTTATTTCATTTTTTCTTTTGTCACATGTTTTCATTTTATAGCTTTGTCTAATCCAAAGTCACAAAGTTTACCCTTTTATTTTCTTCTAACAGTTTTATAATTTTAGCTCTTATATTTAACTTTTGATCTCTTTTGAGTTAAGCTTTATAGATGGTTTGAGGAAGAGGGCCAGCTGTATTCTTTTGCCTATAAATATCCAGTTGTCCCAGCACTATTTGTGGTAAAAAAAAATAAAACCCTTTTCCCCCATTGAATTGTTTTGGCACACTTGTCAAAATTCAGTGGACCATAAATGTAAGGATTTATTTCTACACTTTCACTCCTATTCCATTAATCTCTCTTTATATTAGCACCACATCATTATTATCCTTTTTGAAAAACTTCTTAAAAAATGTTTATTTGTTTATGGGGCACCTGGGTGGCTCAGTGGGTTAAGCGTCTGACTCCTGATTTCAGTTCAGGTCATGATCCCAGAGTCATGAGTTTGAGCCCCACGTTGTGCTCTGTGCTGAGCATGGATCCTGCTTAAGATTTTCTCTCTCTCTCTCTCTCTCTCTCTCTCTCCCTCTCCCTCTCTCTCTTTCTGTCTGTCTTTCTCTCCATGCCTTTGTCCCTCTCCCCCACTCATGCTGTCTCTCTCCCAAATAAAATCAAAATAATAATAATAATTTAAATGTTTATTTATTTATTTTTTTTTAAATGTTTTATTTATTTCTAGGAGAGAGAGAGACAGCGTGAGCAGGGGAGGGTCAGAGAGAGAGGGAGTCACAGACTGAAATAGGCTCCAGGCTCTGAGCTGGCAGTCAGCACAGAGCCCGACACGGGGCTCGAACCCACGAACCGCGAGATCATGACCTAAGCGAAAGTCGGACGCTTAACCGACTAAGCCACCCAGGCGCCCCTATTTATTTATTTTTAAAGAGAGAGAATCCCAAGTAGGCATTGTGCTGTCAATGCAGAGCCCAACACAGTCTCACCAGCCATAAGATCATGACCTGAGCCAAAATCAGTAGTCAGGTCACTGAACCAACTCAGCCACCCGGGTGCCCCTAGTACCACATTATCTTAGTTACTTTAGATTCTTCTTTCAGTCTGGATGCCTTTTATTATTTTTTCTTGTCTCACTTTTCTGGCTGTAACCTCTAGTACACTGTTGAATAGAAGTGACAGGAGTTGACATCATTGTCTTATTCCTGATTTTGGGCCAAAACATTCATTATTACCATTGATTATGATGTTAGCCATGGGGTTTTTGTAGACTCCCTTTATAAGGTCAAGAAAGTCCCATTCTATCTAGTTTGTTGAATGCTTTTTATCATGAAAGAACGTTGAATTTTGTCAAATGTGTTTTCTATGTCTTATGAGATGATTTTGTAGTTTTTATTTTGTCCTCTATTCTGTTGATATTATATTACTACACTGATTGATTTGGGGGAAGTGAAGTCATCCTTGCGGGATAAATCTCACTTGGTCATGGTGTGTAATCTTTTTCATATGTCAATGGATTTAGTTTGCTACAATTTTTTTTGTGGAGGATTTTTATATCTATATTCATTAGAGATTTGGATTTATAATTTTCTTGTGAATATGATTTTTTTTTTTTAATTAGGGTAATACTGGCCTCTTAGAATTAGTTGGGAAGTATTTCCCCTACTGTTTTGGAAAAGTTTGTGAGAGATTTGTTTTACTTCTTCCTTAACTGGTAGAATTCACCAATGAAGCCATCAGGTCCTGGGCTTTTGCTTTTTTGTTTTTGTTTTTGTTTTTGTTTTTCCCCCAGAAAGCTTCAGTGACTTGTTATAAATGGGTTCATATTTTCTATTCTTTCTTGAGTTAGTTTTTCGTAATGTGTATATTTCTGGGAATTTGTTCATATCCATCTAGGTTATCTAAATTATTGGCATACATTTGTTCATAGTATTCTCTTATAATCCTTAAGGATATTCTTAACTTCCATTCCTGATTTAGTAATTTTAGTCTTTTTTCTTTTGTCTTGGTCAGTCGAACTAAAGGTTTGTCAACTTTTGAGTTTTTCAGGTATCTACTTTTAGTTTCATTTATATTCTCTTTTGTTTTTCTATATTCTATTTCATAATTTCCACTCTGATTTTTATTATTCCCTTCCTTCTGCTTGCTTTTGATTTAGTTTTCTCAGTTTCATCCACTGTCTTAAGATGGAAAGATAGGTTATGGATATGAAATTTTTCTCCCTTGTTTAATATGGGCACTTACAGCTCCAAATTTTCCTCCAAGCATTGCTTTAGCTACATTCATAAGTTTTGGTATATTGTGTCTTCATTTTCAATCATCTCATCAGAACATGTAATTGAAAGTATTTTCTTACTTCCCATTTGTTTTCTTCTTTGACACATTGGTTATAGTGTGTTATTTAATTTCCATATATTTATGAATTTCTAAAACTTCTTCCTGTTTATTGAATTCTAATTTCATTCTTTTGTGGTCAGAATCACACTTTATAGAATTTTAATTCTTTAAATTTATTAAGGATTATTTTATGGCCTCTTATATGGAAGATGTTCTATGTGCATTGAGGAGTATATATATTCTAGTCTTGTTGGATAGTCTATAGTTATTAGGTCTAGTTGGTTTATAGAGTTGTGCAGATGCATCTTTGGTAATGTCATTTCCCTTCTTTCTTTTTTTTTTTTTTTTCAGCTGATGAATTAATCAGTCCTAAAGACATTGATCCTGTCCAGCGCTATATCCCACTACAGAATCAACGTAACGTGAGCATGAGGTTTTCCAATCAAGTAAGGATATTGTTTTCTTAATTTAGACTCATCTAAAGACATTTAAAAGTTAAAAAATTTTTATTCTGAATGGGTTTTTCATTGCTTTTTTTGAGGGCAAGGCTTTTTTCTGGTTATTTAATATATACTTGTGGAAAGGGATTATTTGTTAATGAAGAAATATGAGTCACATGTGTCCAACAAGATGTCTTTCAGGCAAACACTTTCATCTTCATGGGAGTTGACTTTAAGGTGATAAATGTTTTTGGGAGGATGCAGTATGTATGAATAGGCAAGGGGACAGATGAAATGGCATATTATTGAAGGAAGTGGGATCCCATGTAAGGGCCTGTGCTTAGTGTCTCTCCGTTGCTGTGTCTCCATGACAGCACTGAGTGACTGACAGAGTTGTTCTTAGTACTTGGTGACATGTTGGGTGAAGGAATAATTTAAATTTTTTTACATTTAGTAGCTATGGATTCAGACTGTGTTGTGTCAACAAAATAAGTGTTTGCAGGATCAGCAAGATTGATGTTGATTTGAGCAAACCCTCAAGTATTAAATGATACCAGTAATGAGGACTGTTAAAATGAAAATGTTGTAGATTATGGAAACTGCCTGAGGAGAGAGGGAATGAACCTGAGTGTGTGCCTGGGATTCCAAGCAGTTAACATTTATTTAATAAGAATAGCATCAGCACTTCCAGAAGATACGCTTATGAAATCAAAAATGCTCCCTTTATTTTAAAAAAAACATGCGTATACATATTACAAACACACACACACACACACACACACACACACGCTTGTTTTAATGAGGGAAATGGAGAGCCAGCCAGGTCCATTAGTTTCTATCACACTATTTCTCTGATTCTTTTGCTGGTCTTCAATACAACATGTAATTACTCTGACTGATTTATAGATGAGAAGCTATTTGGGAGACTTGTAAATAAATGTTAAGATTTTCTCAAGAACATAAAGTCCTTCTGCTAATACGTGTGAGGAGTTTTTCACTGCCCCATTGATTCCTGTGTAAGGTGATGATTTGGCCATTATCTTCATTACCACTCTGTCAGTACACTGTAAGTATACATTCTTTACAGATTTGGGATATACGATTTTACTTGAAGAAATGGTAAAGTAGGGAATACATTTAACTTCATATTATGCAGTACTGTGACTCTGAGCCATTTTAAGACTAGCATTTACATTTACGTAGCATTTCACATGTGTGACCCACTTCTCTCTGGTAATGAAATCTCAAACCCTTTTCTTAGAAAATAAAGTAATAGGTCACAGATTTGAGTTGTGGGTACAGGAGCCAGAGAGCATAAAATCACATAGCTAACAACAATTTGAACAATTATTTCATGCTTGGTACATAAAACGAAGGCTGTGGATTATGTGTAATTTTTTACATACAGTATACTTCCAGCTCTTTCTTTCCCACTCAAGAAAGCTTATCAGAGTACAAGTGAGTGAGAGTGGATTTTATGGAGAATTTGCTCTTTTTTTATATTGAAACCATTTTCTAATGTTGCTACTAAGTTATCTGTGCCATGCCTCCCAGACAGAGCCACATTCCTACATATGAGACTTGCTGTAGGGTAAGGACAAGGGCTTCTCTCCTGCAGCTTCATGGGGATCACATCTGTGCAGAGTTGGGTACAGTCCCTGAGAAGGAGGTGGTGCAAGGATCGACATCAGAAAATTTCTGGGAGCCATCCTGCTCCACCCTAATTGAGCTTGGTGATATATAAAATGGTGAGGTGCTAGTGCACCTTGGGTGGCTCAGTTGGTTAAGTGACCAACTTTTGATTTCACCTCAGGTCATTATCGCATGGTTTGTGAGTTCAAGCCCTGCGTTGAGCTCTGTGCTCACTGTGCAGAGCCTGCTTCAGATCCTTTGCTGCCCTCTTTCTGGCCCTTTCCCTCCTGTGCTTTCTGTCTCTCTAAAAAATAAATGTTAAAAAGGTTTTTTAAATAAAATATAAAATAAAAAGGTGAGGCACCTTTGCCATTTTCTCAGCCATTTAAGCAGTAGCCAAGAGCAGGCATGACCTCGCCTGTTGCTGGGACTGGGTAGTATGGACTGATGAAATAAAGAGGTCAGACATAGCCCTCTGCTTGGAGGGTTGATGTCAGAGACTCCTTGGTCATTATTGTCCAGGTCAGACTTTGCAACTACAGGGATTGACCAGGTGTTTCAAACCCTGCCAAATGATGAAAAAAGTAGAGAGAGAGAGTAGTAAAGTTCAGACAATTTCTGAAAATGAGAGAAATCCCTGACTTTGAAGGAAGATATATCAGGGGTCCCCATTTATCCTTTGCCTCAGTGATTCACTAGATGAACTCACAGGACTCAGAAGCTGTGATACTTACACTTACGATTTATTACAGTGAAAGGATACAGGATAAAATCAGCAGAGGCACACAGGGCAAGTCTTGAGGAAATGACTCACAAGCTTCCCAGTGTCCTTTCCCAGTGGAGTTATGTGAGACACAGTTACCCAGCACCAATGTGTAAAAGTTGCAAAGTGTTGCTGACCAACACTTGCTTAAGCTTGAGTGTCCAGTTTTTATTGAGGGTCAGTCATGTAGGCATGTAAAACCTGCAGGATTGGCCGTGGCTATTCAAGCTGTAGCTCCCCAGAGAAAAAAACAGATGTTCACCATAAATCACACTGTTAGCTTAAACCATCTGGACAAACTGGTACAGGCTGGCCAGGTGCCTTAATTAAGCATGTAAAAACACTCTTCCCTGGCAGACATTCCAAGGAGTCAGCCTTCAAATATACCTTTCTTGGGAATGTTCAGAGTTTGAACAGCCCAGGACTACTGAATCAACTCATTCCTTCATAGAAAGGTTATGACAGAAGGAAGTTTCCAGAATCCAGAAAGCAAGAAGTGTGTCAGAACTGTAGAATTGTCCACTCCTTCAAGTATACATAGGGCTATTAGCAAATTACAAACCTAAAACATTGAGGACTAAATTGAGGGCTGTTGATTTTCATAGAAATACCCATAGCAAACTAATTTCATGAAAAGGGAAGTACTTTTATACCTGGGTTTAAGACTGGGGTTGGAGAGGCACCTGGGTGACTCCAGTGGTTAAGCATCTGAGACTTGATTTTGGCTCAGGTCATCATCTCATGGTTTGTGGATTCTAGCCCTGTCTCTCTCCCTCCCTCCTCCCTCTGTCTTCCCCCCCTCCCTCTCCCCTTCCTTGCTCTCTTTCTCTCTCTCAAAGTAAATAAATAAACTTAAAAAAAAATTGGAGTTGGAAAAACATAGTATCATCTTGAATGACCCTCCTCACTACTCTCTCTCTTTTTTTTTTTTTTCATTTTTTTAATGTTTATTTTTGAGAGAGACAGAGTGTGAGTGGGGGAGGGGCAGAGAGAGAGGGAGACACAGAATCCGAAGCAGGCTGTAGGCTGTGAGCTGTCAGCACAGAGCCCGATGTGGGGCTTGAACCCATGAACCGTGAGATCGTGACCTGAGCTGAAGTCAGATGCCGAACCGACTGAGCCACCCAGGCGCCCCCTCACTACTCTCTTATTAGTCGGAAATTGCTACTTTCTCTTGCTGTTACTTAAAGAATAAAACAAATCCTCTTTTATAATTAAGTTTAGAGGAGTAGAAAGAAAATCACTGTGACAAATATACTTTATATTATTGTGAGATTTTGACAGCCCCCCACCCACCCACCAAATCCCACCTTTTGGAGATCTTAGAATTTAAGTTCCCATAGATCAGAGACCATGTTTAATTTATTTTTGTAGCTTCAGTATCATCATAATATCGTAACACCTGTTATTAGAAGGTAGTCAGTTTTGCTTGATTGTTTGAGTAAAACAGTGCTTGTAGGTATATGCAAGAGGAAGGTGTGTCATGGGGAATAGTGGAATTCTCATGCATATGTCTCTAGTTTTATATCTCTAATTGTAACCTCTTTCCTAATATGTAAACTTGAATTTCCAACTACTTGGTGATCATCTCTCCACACAGATCTAGTATTTAAAACCCAGTATTTCTAGATGTATACTTATTTCCAACTCGTCCAGTTGGATATATTAAATATATACAGCTTTTTGTATGTCAATCATATGTCAATAAAGTTGTTTAAAAATAAAATTCATTTCTTTTTTATGAATTACATTTATCTTAAGTTTTTATTTTAATTCTAATTAGTTAACATACAATGTTATATTAGTTTCAGGTGTACAATATAGTGATTCAACACTTCCATACAATACCCAGTGCTCATCACAAGTGCTCTCCTTAATATCCATCACCTATTTAACCCATCCCCCCACCCTCTCTTCTGGTAACCATCAGATTGTTCTCTACAGTTAAGAGTCTGTGTCTTGCGGGGCGCTTGGGTGGCTTAGTTGGTTAAGCGTCCGACTTTCGCTTAGGTCATGATCTCGCGGTTCGTAGGTTCGAGCCCCGCGTCAGGCTCTGTGCTGACTGCCAGCTCAGAGCCTGGAGCCTGTTTCAGAGTCTGTGACTCCCTCTCTCTCTGACCCTCCCCTGTTTACGCTGTCTCTCTCTCTCTCTCTCCTGAAATAAATAAAACATTTAAAGAAAGAGAGAGAGAGTCTGTTTCTTGCTTTGACTCTCTCTCTTGCTCTCATTTTATTCCTTTGCGTGTTTGTTTTGTTTATTAAATTCCACATATGAGTGAAATCATATGGTATTTGTCTTTGACTAATTTTGCTTAGCGTTGTGCTCTCTAGCTCCATCCATGTCTTTTTTATGGCTAAATAATATTCCATTGTGTGCATATATAATACATCTTCTTTATCCATTTATCAGTCAATGGACTCTTGGGCTGCTTCCATAATTTGGATATTGTAAATAACGCTGCTTTATAGGGATGCATGTATCCCTTTGAATTAGTGTTTTTGTATTTTTGGGTAAATGCCCAGTAGTGTGATTGCTGGATCATAAGGTAGTTCTATTTTTAACTTTTTGAGGAACCTCCAAACAGTGGCAATACCAATTTCATTCCCACCA